AAGCAAGTATCTGACTCGGGTGGACATTTCATCATGTTGAAAACATTGAACTCCACTTGTTCGTCTTCCACCCTTAAGATTAGTTTACCTTGGTGTACATCTATTAAAGTCCTACTTGTAGCTAGAAAAGGCCTTCCTAATATTAAAGGTATGTTCCGGTCTTCTTCCATGTCAAGAACTACAAAATCTACTGGAAAGATAAATTTGTCTACCTTTATTAGGACATCCTCCACCACTCCCCTAGGATATGATATGGATCTATNCTTGTTCGTCTTCCACCCTTAAGATTAGTTTACCTTGGTGTACATCTATTAAAGTCCTACTAGTAGCTAGAAAAGGCCTTCCTAATATTAAAGGTATGTTCCAATCTTCTTCCATATCAAGAACTACAAAATCTACCGGAAAGATAAATTTGTCTACCTTTATTAGGACATCCTTCACCACTCCCCTAGGATATGTTATGGATCTATCCGCCAATTGAAGATGAATCATGGTTGGCTTCACCACTCCTAAACCAAGTTTCCTGAAAATAGAAAATGGCATCAAGTTAATGCTAGCTCCTAAATCATATAAAGCTTTATCAAAATAAAAACTACCAATTGTGCAAGGAATATTAAAACTCCTTGGATCTCCGAGCTTTTGTGGTAATTTCTTCAATAACAATGCGCTACACTCTTCCGTAAGCATCACCGTCTCATGTTCTTCAAATCTCCTCCTTTTGGTGATAATCTCCTTCAAAAACTTTGCGTACTTCGGCATTTGCTCCAACATGTCTACAAAAGGAATGTTAATATGTAAAGTTCTAAACATGTCCATAAACTTACCGAATTGCTTATCCAATCTTTGTTTTTGCACTCTGTAAGGATACGGGAGGTTCGCATGGCTCAACGGGGGTTTCTGCTTGGATGCACGGTCGCCACGGCCATCAGATTCATCGTCGTGGTGATTGTTTGATAATTTTGACAAAATCGGAACAACATCACGGTTGTCGCGGCCATCGTCCCTCTGTTCATTCTGTAGGGTTTGTTCTTTCCTCTGTTTTTCACCTTTGAATTTTCCAAACTTTGACCACTCCTCAAGGTGATTACATGCTCTTGTTCCTTAGGATTCTTCTCTGTGTCACTCGGCAAAACTCCTTGAGCTCTTCCCGCTAATATGTTGTGAATCTGCCCAATTTGAGTCTCAAGGTTCCTAATAGAAGCTGATTGGTTTTGAGCCAGGATGTCACTCTTCTCAAACCTCTTGCTTGTCTCTTCAGTGAACTTGGTCAACACATTCTCTAAATTAGATTTTTGCTCTTGAGGTTGAAAAACAAGAGCTTGCTTTTGCTCATTATTGTTGCTCCATGAAAAGTTCGGGTGTTTCCTCCATGTTGGATTATATGTATTGGAATACGGATTCCCTTGCCCCCTTTGGAAATTGTTGATGTAATCGGCTTGTTCAGGCTGAGCAAATGGGTTTCCCTCTTGGCAATCGTTCGATGCATGATTTCATGGACAAAGGTCACATGTTAGAGAAGAAGATTCAATTGCATTTATTTTCAACACATTACCTAATTGCTTCTGGATGTTTGTAAGTTGAGTAGCCAATGTAGTGTAACTGTCAACTTCGTGCACTCCCGCTGATCTCCTTATTGAATTTCTCTCTGGAGTCCTCATATAGTTATTGTTTGCCATCACTTCAATTAAATTATAGGCTTCCTCCGGTGTTTTGTTGTTCAAGGCTCCCCCACTTGCAATATCTACCATGGCTTGTATATTTGGCATCAACCCATTGTAAAATGTTTGCACTTGCGACCATATTGGTAACCCATGGTGAGGACACCTCCGTACGAGATCCTTATAACTCTCCCAAGCTTCATAAAGCGATTCCATATCTTGCTGGAAAAAATTTGTGATGTCACTCCTCATCTTGGCAGACTTGATCGGCAGAAAATACTTCGCAAGGAACACTTGAACTAACTCATTCCAAGTAGTGATGCTTCCGGGTGGTAGAGAAATTAACCAAGCCTTAGCTTTATCCCGAAGAGAGAATGGGAAAAGCCTTAACCTAATTGCATCATCAGATACCCCATTATGTCGGAATGTATCGCATAGCTCCAGAAAATTTGCGATATGCAAATTAGGATCATCGCTAGACAACCCTGCAAATTGAATTGAATTTTTTATCATTTGAATTATGTTTGGCTTTATCTCAAAGGTATTTGCTTGAATCGGTGGTCTCCTAATACTAGAAGCACATCCCTCAATTGTAGGTCTTGAGTAATCCTTAAGTGCCTTTTGAACTTCTTCTTCTCCTGTATCTGTCATTGAAACTAACTCCTATGTACGGTCCAACACTAAAAATACAGAAATAAAAATTAAAGCACTAAAAACAAAAAACAAAAAACAAATTACAAACCAAATTAGCAACTAAATAGCTAGTATTGATATTGATAATATAAAAGCAATTCCCTGGCAACGGTGCCAAAAACTTCTTGTTGATTTTCGCAAGTGTACGAAATCGTGCAAGTAATAAAGTGTATAAATACGGATATCGAACCCAAGGGAATTACTATTATCAATTACCAATTAAACTATCCTATTACTATTTGATCAGTCCAAATTTTATGAAAGAAGAATCTAAATTAAATAAAATTAATAATTGAAATTAAAAAGAAAACTGAAAAGAGAACAATTAAAATAAACTTTGGGTAAAAACAAGATGACTAGACCTAGGGCATAGACTTCACACCAACTCTTATTCATATATATCGATCTCTTATGCTAATTTTATTAAGCTCTTCCTATAGGTCAAACTCCCTAAATTTCCAATAACTTTCTCTTGAACAATTATCAAATTAACCCCTAATTACTAACCCGAATTATCTCTAATCAGATTTAAGCAATTGGAGATCATTACGCTCTATGGAGTTTACCAAAAACTCACAAGTCACGTTAACCTATCTCTAGCGTTTCGCTCAACCTATGGTTTTACTACTGTAGACCAACTAAGTATCATCTCTCGATCTCAATTTAGTCCATTAGTTCATTCAATTCTTGGGCCCTTAAGAATCAAAGGCATTAGGAATAATAGTAAAACTTAGGAAGAATTCTTAATAAACATTAACAATCAAAGATCAATACATAATTAAGAGATTGTCTACATCTTAGCCCTAGAGAATAAAATTAGTTCATAATAAACTTGAAAGAAAAAATCATCTTTATTAAAACATTCATCATGAGTTTAGAAGAAAAGAATAAGGAAAACTTCTCTATATTGTGAATCAAAGCTCCAGAATTTCTGTTACTTCTCTTCTCTCCAGATTTTTCTCCCTTTCTTCTCACCCAAAGAATCCCAAAATAATGCTAAAAGACTTCTATTTATATCCCACAAGAGTTAGGGTTCGTTTTTCCTTAATTCTATTTGATTTGGAACCCTTAACCCTATTCTCCTGGCCAAAAAGGGACAACAAACTAGTGACTTACGTGACTGTGCCGTGGCACTGTGCTGTGGCACAGTACCTACTGGAAAAAGTGTGCTGCAGCACAGTAGCTGCTGCCCTTTTCCCACATCATTCCACTTTGCTTCAAAGATGTTAATTTTTGAACTTGATAACAATGGAATTTGGAATAGTTGTAAACATATGAAATGTAGTCCTTTGAATCAGCATTCCAACGGTCCAAGAATCGTCTTAATCTGAGTTCTACAGATCAAGATATTTTCAAAATACTGAGGCATGCACAAGCTGGAACGTAATCTAGAATCTTCTCTTTACTTCAAGTTCCATATCTTCTTCAATTCAACTCTGATTCTTGATCCGTTTGTTTCCACTCGTCACTCATTCCATTGTAAACATGATTCTTCATCTGAGCATAACATTTAAGTACTAGTGACCTGAAAAACACTCCAAAAACACCCGTGATCCCGTAAAAGGCAATTATTAAAATATTAAGCAACTTTACCAAATTAAGCCTAATTTCCCATAATTAATCCCCCAAAAACCACTAAGTAAATGTGTATTTTCAAGCTCTTATCACAAAGTACAGAACAAATTCATGCCTTACTAAATAGTACTCCCAAGTCTTCAAAGCACACACAACAAAATAAAACTCCTCATACGTAGCCCGTTTATGCCTCGCATTGCTAAGTTTCTCACTGAAATAAGCTACTGGTCTCTTATTTTGTGAAAGGACAGCTCTTATTCCCACACCACTAGCATCAAATTCAACTTCAAACAAGGCCTCAAAACTAAAACAGGGGCAGTGTATAATTTCTCCTTTAACATAGCAAAGCTAGTTTCAGCTTCCTCACTCCATTGGAACTTCCCTTTCTCCAGACATTCTATAATAGATGCTGCAATACTACTGAAATTTCTGATAAAACGCCTGTAGAAGGTTGCCAACCCATGGAAACTTCTGACATCCTTTACTATTTTTGGGGTAGGCCACTCCCTAATTTCTCGAACCTTCTCTTCATCTACTTGAATATCATTTGCCCCAACAATATAGCCTAGGAACAATAACCTATTTGTCATAAAACTGCACTTCTTTAGGTTCACGTACAACTTGTTTTTTCTGCAAAACTGTTAGTACCTCACGTAAGTGTTGAATGTGCTCTTCTTCTGCTTGACTATGAATCAGGATATCGTCAAAATAAACAACTACAAACTACCCAATAAAAGGTTTCAGTACCTAATTCATTACTCTCATAAAAGTGCTCAGTGCATTTGACAAACCAAATGGCATCATAAGCCACTCATACAAAACCTTCTTTGTCTTAAAAGTTGTTTTCCACTCATCCCCATGTCTAATTCAAATTTGGTGGTACCCACTCTGCAAATCAATCTTCGTAAACACTTGTACCCCATGTAATCTATCAAGCATGTCATCCAGCATAGGAATCAGAAACTTGTACCCTACAGTGATTTTATTTATAGCCTTGCTATCCGTACACATCCTCCAATTCCCATCTTTCTTTAGCATTAGTAAGGCAGGAATTGCACATGGACTCATGCTCTCTTAAATGCACTCCTTCGCTAATAATTCCTCCACCTTTTCTTTCAGAATCTCGCTCTCCTTTGGACTTATCCTATAGTGAGGTAAGTTTGGCAAGCTAGCTCTAGGAATTAGATCAATATGGTGCTGAATATCCCTCATAGGTGGTAACTCGTCGAGTAACTCCTCTGGCATCACCTCACTAAATTCTTCTAACAATGGCTTGATTGCTTTCGGGTACTCTTTTGTCTTCAACTCCCCTTCAATAGTCAATACTTGCTTCATAATCAGTGCATGCATCACCCTTGATGCCTTGAAAGCAACTTCTAACTCTAACCCCAAATGTGTAACAGTAAAGAAGGTCCACCCCTCCACTTTAGAAGCTTTGGTTTTGGAACTCTTTTTCATTGTTAGCAAGGTGAATTTGACGCCATCTTTCTCCAACTTATAGGTAGTTTCTCTCCCGTCATGTTGTGCTGCCACATCAAATTGCCATGGCCTGCCAAATAATAAATTACAAGCATCCATATCCGCAACATCAAAATATACCTCATCTCTGTATTGCCCAATGGAAAAAGGAACCTTTCACTATTCTGTTACTTGAATTTTCTCTGCTGCCTTAATCCACCCAATAGTGTATGCATTAGGGTGCTTCTCAATTTTCAGACCCAATTTCTCAACAACATCTCTGCTAATAATATTTTCACAACTACCTCGGTCAATAATCACATCAAATAAAAGGTTAGTGATAGTGCACCTGGTTCGAAATAATTGATGTCGTTGGGTGTTGTCCTCTTGTTTTGGCGTCAACATCAGTCTCCTCACCACATACTTCTGGCCATCATCCCCATCTATAGCACAATAAACTTCAACATCCTCTTCTCCTCATTCCATAACATGGACTGTTTTTCTGAAGGGACAGTCGCTCAATCTATGACCAGGTTGGTTACATTTGAAACACTTCCTAGGGGTCAGTTTCTCATAGGGATTTGCAGCTTTCTACCCTTCCTTTGTATCTATTATCTTCTGTTTTCCAACCGCCTTTTCTTTTTTGAACCGATCATTGCGTGCAAGAACATCCTGACTTGCCTTATTCTTTTCACTATTTGTTCTATAATTCTTCCCATTGTAATTCTTGCGTGAATAGTCTAGTCTACTTTTCTCTTGCAACAACAGTTCAGCCTTTAATGCAAAGTTTCATGCCTCTACTAAATTCCGCATTACTTGCACCCCTATTTTGTCCTTGATAACTGCTTTCAAACCCTCCAAATGTCTTGCAACCTGCTAGCCTTCAGTCTCCCTCAAGTCATTCCTTTTTGCCAACCTCATAAACTCTGCGGTATATTCATGCACATATTTATGTCCTTGATGACATTTTTGGTACTGCTCGAACAAGATCTGTTCATAATCAGGAGGAAGAAAATCCCTTTGTAACAATTGCTTCATTCTATACCATGCTCTAACTGGTGCTCTCCCCTCACGAAGTCTTCTGACCTGCAATCTTTCCCACCATGCTGAATCTCCTCCCTTCAATCTACATGCGACTAGTTTCACCCTTCTCCCCTCTAGGATATCCATATATTCAAAAAAAACCTATCTACTTCTGCCATCCAATCCAAAAATTCCATAATAACTAAATGTTCTCTAAAGCAAGGGATATCTACCTTTAATCTGAATTCGTTGGAGTCTCTGTCACCGTACTGATTTCTGCCATAACCCATATTCCTTTCAGGTTCCTCATAATAACCATCTTCTTCGTCTAGCTCTTCTACATAAAATGGTTGTCTACCTCTATTTGCAAAAACAGGTCTGCCAATAGGTCATCCGTGAGTGGCATCATCCTTGGTATGTTGCCTTTCATCATTCCTATTTCTATTGGCATCTACGCTCAAAGCATCAAGTCGATCTGCAATTTCTTCAAACTGTCGTTCAAAGCATCATTCCAAACACTAGAATTTGAGATCAATTCGTTGCTCCAAAGCTCTTAGCGCCACCCCTTGCGAGGTCTCAGCTCCTTAATCTTCGTCATGAGAACCGTCGTCGCCTACAATGTCATCACCTACCATTAGATTAGATGAATTTTGCCTACTCTGATGCTAATTGATGCAGCGAGTTAGCGTGATAACACAAGGCTAGCACTCAACTATGCCTTTAATTAGGGTTGATAAACAAGTCTCAATCTCGAAACTTAAGCCTTAAAATCTGAAGTAAAATCTGAATAATGTATTGAATTCATCCAAAACAAAAAATAAGTTTATATAGGGTGAAAACCAACCCTAACAAGACTCCTAATAGCAAAAAGAAACAAAAACTAAATTAATTAAAATAAGAAAACCCGAAATAAAATAGGAAAAAACGCGCAAACAACTAAAATAGCCCCAAAACACGCAAAAATGATGGAGTTTGGCCTCGAAAACGACCTCCAACTAGCTAAAACTTGTTTCCACGTCGACGGGCTTGAAATAAGCTTTCCAACGGTATCTTACAAGCCCCTTAACTCTTCCCAGATCAAAAGTTATGGCCGTTTGAATAGGGCATGCTCATTTAGGGCATTTGGGCTTCACGCATGAACTTTTGATGGTCAACCCGCTCCATGAATTCATCCGCCAGACATTCGACGTCAGATTTTTTTCAACTAACACAATAGATAATTGACGTTGATGAGTTAAACAATGAATATAGTATGCACACTCATTCTCCTTCAAAATAAGTGTTTTAAGGCCGTTGAACCTGCCTTGCATGTTACTAATACCATCATAATTTTGTCCCCGCAACCTAGATATACTCAATCCATGTCTTCAAATCAAATCATCAATCAATGCCTTAAGTGAAAGTGCAGTAGTACTACTTACATGCTCAACAGCTATAAAACACTCAACCGCATCTCCCTTCTTGTTCACATAACAAAATACAACCACCATTTGCTCCTTTATTGATACATCATGAGACTTATCAATCAAAATAGAAAACAATGAATCATTCATCTCCGTAATAATAGCAAGAATGGTTTCAATTGCAAAAGCACTTAAAATGTCTTTTGAATATCGGGTGGTGTTAATTTGAGATTTTCAGGAGCATTCTTCAGTGTAACATCTCTTAACATCTTTATCATGGTTAGCAACAAACTCTTAACAGCTCAAGAAAATTTCCTTTGTTGTCTGAATCATCAGATTCATCATTACCATGAAATGCAATACCTTGTTTCAAAAGAAACAAAATAAAATCAATCAACAAATTCAAGCAAGCTCGATATTCACTTCAACTTTGGTCTGAATATCTCGAAAAAAAAATGTTTGGATGTGTTGGTCTTGTTTCAGTAAAACTTCACATTTTATGATCGCTTGATTATGGGCATTATTAGGACGTCCCACGTGAATTGAAAGTCTTTCTTTCTTCTTCCAATTTCGATAACCATTAACAACAAATGAATCACCGCTACCTTGTTCCCCATTATTAAACTTGAAAAGGTAGCAACACAGATAAACTGCATCCTTCGCTATACTATACTACAATTAATTTTCATTACTCTCAAACCAACCAATATTGAACCATCGAGTTACTTTGCCAAAATTTTCATACAGGAAATTATGGTTTTTAGGTTGACAAAGACCTTTTCTGAATATGCTCTTCGGACTTGTTCTCAAATATTACGATTATAATCTAAAATTTGAGGTTTTAAGCCAGAATCTGAAAGAATGTTTGATAAATCTATATCTTCACCGCTACAATTTTGCCGTAGACCATCATCAATTTTTTCCTAAGCATCACCGTTAATCCTCTTTGGAGTAGGCGACGACTCTTGTTTACGTTTGAAATACCTCTCCATATTGTTTCAAAGTCAAGTTTATATATTAAATTAACACATAGGTAAAAGATATTGTTGTTTATAATATTATGGCAGTTTTATTATCACTAATTCCTACATCTTTTAAGTATGAAGAATTAAAAGATTTGCCTAATAATCATTAAGAATCAATACAACCTATATTAGTCAAAGAATTAAATTAAGAAAATAAGGCCTAATAATTTATCTAAATTATACCAATTTTCAATTCACAAGCAATTGCATAATATATATTATTTACAAGATAAAAACCGTGGTGATAACTAACCACTTGACCACTAAGTTAAAACTAACAAAAACAATATATATAATACTCTAACAACACAAAACAAATTAAATATCAATTACTCAATTTGTCTAAATTATACTCTTTCACAATTCACAACTAATCATTACAAATTTGTTAACAAACCCATTAAATAAAATCATTAAAAAGTAAAATTATAAATATAAAATTTGATGCAAACTATACTTTAATTAATTATTTTTGTCTAATTTTCTTGGTCTTGAACCATGAGAAGGGAAAATTCCAACATAAGGTTTAGTTCTCAAACAATTAAAAGAAGTTATATGCAATTAATTGGGGGCAAAAAGCTAAAATAATCACATTCATAAAGTGAGAAAAAGAAATTTTTTAAAGTAGACATGAGAGAGAGAAGGAAGTTGCAGTTTTTATTGAAGTAGTGGAAGAAGAATGAAGGAAAAAACAAGTTTTTACTTTTGAGTGAAAAGACTGGTGTTTGATTCATTTTTCCCAATCATATCCTATCCAATCCTATCCAAAATACATATTTATTTCAATATTTTCAAAATCTAATTCTATTATATTAAACTTAAAATATTTAGATTTTTTTAACCCCCTATGTTTGTTAATTTAACTAAACACCCTGAAGCATTAAAAATTAACAAAAACACCGTAACCCACCCATTAAGGGCCCATCACCAACAATTGCCCATGTTGACGTTTCGCACCAACCCTCAAACTTTCCACAATCAAGAGAACACAAAATGCTAATAAATTTGGTTGCTGCTGACTGCAGACAATTACTCAATTCATAACTCACAAGTGGTCAGTTTGTCATTATAATTGTTTTTAAAAGTAGAATTGAGAGGAAATCAAGCAAAAATATATAAATTTTTTTTTTTTATTTGGTTTTTAAAAAAAAAAATATAGAGGAAATAAAAAATCTTAGCAGTAGAAGGGGATGAAAAAAGAAAAAAAGAATTTGAGAGGAAATCAAAACAAAAATATATAACCCTTGTTTGTTACACTATTTTGGATCATTATTCTGTTATCTTATTTGGATTAAAAAATAAAATGTGTTTATTTATTTATTGGGTCAATCTATTCTGAAAATTAATCAAACTCAAATAAGATTTTTTGTCTAAAAATAAAAAGAGGGTAGGATTTTTTTCTAGATTATCTAACTCTATTCAACTCAAAACATTTTTCCAACTCTATTCAACTAAAAATATTTAGTTTTCTCTCCTTCCAATTTGAAAATTAATGTACCCAAGACCACCATCACTGGCCACCGTCGTTGCCACTGGCAGTCATTGCTGGCCGATGTGGCCAGAATAGCACATGACCAGTCAGATCTAGCCGATCATGCGTCAATCTAACCGTTGTTGGCCAGATCTATCATGGATCTAGCTAGAACGGCCCCGTTAACGGTCAAACCTA